GGATTGTTGGTAACCCTAAACCCTAAACCCTAAATCCTAAATCCTAAATCCTAAACCCTAAACCCTAAACCCTAAATCCTAAAACCTAAACCCTAAACCCTAAACCCTAAAACAATTATCTTCAGGAACCTTGTAGCTGAACCCAATGCAAGGCAGAGCTGATCTACATCGGAGGCGGGCTTGGCGCAGCCTCACGGGCCTTGGCATCTCCTTCGCAACGTTTAGGGCTTAGGGCTTGGGGTTCAGGGGTTTAGGGTTTGGGGTTTGGGGTTTAGGGTTTAAGGTTTAAGGTTTTCTTGGTTTAGGGTTGGGGGGTTTAGGTTTTAAGGTTCAGGTTTAGGGCTTTAAGGTTTAAGATTTAGTAGGGTTTAGGGATTAGGGTTCGGGGTTTGGAGTTCAGGGTAAAATTTAGGACTGGGGCTTTGTGGGCTTATAGTTTAAGGTTGTAGGGTTTCAGGGCTTAGAGTCTTGGCTTTTTGGGGTTTAGGGTTTTAGGGCTTAGTTTTTTTAGGGTTTGGGCTTTGTAAGGTTTAGTATTGTAGGGTGTACGGGGTTTAGGGCTTCATGGGTTCGCCTACGACCCCCCAAAATTCACCCTTATCAGCCTTAACTGGCCCTCAGCACACTTTTCTAACCCTGATTCGTATAGGGGTGGGGGGGGATCTAGGAATTCCATAAAACCATGCAGACTGAGCCTATGAAAACAGACCATGCCTGAGGGCTCATGGGTAGTTGTATAAAGAAGTATATAACTTGGGTACTGCCCCCACCCAGTAACAGTCTATATTAGGGGTCCTAATAAGGGCTATATACAATCATATCATACCTATTATCCAACTGTTACTGAGGGGGGGCAGTACCCAATATATGACCCCTAAGCTAGGTTGTAACCATACTTGTGCTGAGCCCAAAAACCTTAAACAACTGCCGTACCCAGGTTGACAGGGAAGGACAGGGAGCAAGAAAGGGAGAGGAGTCTCGGATCATGCGGTACTCGTCAAAACCCTCCATATCTGATCCTTAATGGGGACCCTGAACTTATAACCTTAATATGGGTCAAACCCTAAACACTAAACTCAACCCTAAAACCCTAAAGCATATGCACTACATTTCAGAACATGTGTTCTTTTATATAACCGTATAATACTATGGTAGTTTCCATTTTATTTTCCACTATCCCAATATAATCCCAATATATCCCCTAAATGAGCCATTGTCTAAACTCCTAGTATCCCCCTTAATAACCCCCATAGTAGTCCCCTATATAACCACCCTTTAAGGAGTTTAGACTATAGCTCATATAACCACATATAATAGTTGTTTTTTTGTTTTGGTCCCCTTGACGCATCCTGAGAAACCCTGATCTCTGTGGTCCGCGCCTCGGTTAGCTCTGAGCTCCTGTAGTGCATCCTGCACCTGGGCCAATTAGGGTTTAGGGGGTTTAGGGGTTTAGGGTTTACGTAGGGGGTTCAGGGTTTAGGGGGTTTAGGGTTCAGGGGGTTTGGGGTTTAGAGGGTTTAGGGTTTACTCCGCGCTATCTCTGAGGGTTTAGGGTTTAGGGTTCAGGGTTTAGGGGGTTTAGGGTTTAGGGTGCGGATGAACCATGGTGACATGGACGCCCCCCATACCAATCTTCTTACTGGTGGTCAATAGGAAATAAGGGAGTATGTATGGGGGTTTCCCCAAACTAGGGGAAATCTGGGGCCTCCATGATAAGGACTATAGTATTTTGTGGTATGCATTGGGGTCCCCCTATAAAAACTAACATGTTATGTAAGGATTAAATAGGGATTGCTTTCCTTTATTCCTGCTATCTGCAAGGCAGTGGTACAAGCAAGGCCCAGAGCCACAACAAAAACAGAAGTTCATGCGCGGTAGAAGCAGAGCGTCTCAATATACACCTCCAAACGCTATTAGTATGGGGACTCCCCACAAAAACACACCTAAGTTTCAGAAATCCCCTGTGAGCCTTGTCAGAGGACTGGTATTGCATCACGTCCTTTTTGGCCTCCTGGGAAAGGTCGCAAGTAACATGTGTAACAGGATTGCGCGCCAGAGATACTGCATGTCACCCTCTCCTCGACGAACTCTTGCGGGAAAACATGTCTCATGAACCTTAGGTGTGGACACATCGTGTGGCTGTTCTCCCTCGGTGCTTCACATAAAAACTGGTATTTTAGGGGCGAGGTGGGACGAGGTCGTTATAATTTGTCTGGATAAAGCCTAATTCAACCTCGCGGCTCCATGTAGTTGATGCTCCCATTCTGGTCGTCATCAAACCTGTTCTAAGCAGCGCAGGGTCAGATGCGTTGAAGGTTGGAACAACTCACCATGGGAATGAGACCAGTCGCAAGACCCCGCACTATGGAGAATGGTGGTCAAATAGCGGCCTTTAAGAGGAAAACTAGCAGTCACAACAACATCCACCTACAACTTCAGGACAAGAAGCACAGGCAGCCGTTACATGCCTGTTTCTCAAGATCGAGGGCCCCAGTCATGAAATTAAGGATCCTCTCTAGGGACCCCTCCGAAGGCGACCCATGATTTTGAGAAAACTCTGCATATGATGGTAATATGGGGCTTGCAAAGAAATAAACACCACATATATAAATACTCCATAGTAAAGACCACTAAGTTCTGGCAACATATGAGCTATAGTCTAGACTCCCAGTATCCCCCGTAATGACTCCTATAGTAGTCCCCTATAAAACCCAATTTAAGGAGACTATAGCTCATATAAGCGAAACAAACGCAATGCCACTGACGCCCCGCAGCGCGAGCTTCTTAAAACACCCATACTCAAAGGGCTCAAAAGGTGGGATGAAGGAAGGTGGGGTATAGGAAATAAGCCCCAATATAGTAGAGTATATACTAAGGGTCATTTAACCCACCTACATTCATCCCACCATTTGAGCCCCCTGACATAGTCCTCTTGCCCCTCAACCCCAAACCGCCAAACCCCTAAAACTCTAAAACCTTAAAACCCCCTAAACCCTAAAACCCGAAATCCTAAAACATGTAGCAGGCAAGGCTCAGCATGAAGAGCCCAACAGATCGTTCCTTGGGAATAGATTTAAACATGGCCATATGTCCCACATTCTATTTACGTAAGTGGGACTAATAAGGCTTTGGATTTCAGATCTTGGGGTATATGGAACTACCAACATCATCTAAGGTACTGTGTGCCAAACCATTGTACAAGGAATCTGGGGCCTCAGGACCACAATGTTGGTAATCATCCGTGTAAGGCCGTGTATGAAGCCTGTTTCCATGGAAAATGGAGGCTGCTATCTTGTTTTGTGGCGTTTTGATAGTATATTCCTCTCACAGAATACCATGACGAAAAGAAAGGTCCAATATCTATCTCTCTTGGGGACTATAGTATCCCCAAATTACATGCTATCCGCCAGGGATCTTAGCGTACTTGCCCATATGTAACACATATGTCAATCTGTACATACATTTTATGATATACTTTAGGTGGACCCCCCACCCTGTAACAGTGGCTATAAGGGATAATAAGGATTATACTAGGGTCCTCTTATATTCCTATCATACCACTATTACAGGGTGGGGGGTCCTCCTAAACATATACCTCAAACCTCAGCGCTACACCCTAAATCCGATATGCCTCCCACACCTCCCTCCCCCGACCCGCAAGGTTATGCTTCACCAATAGGTTGCTGCTACAATTACTGCTACTGTGGACAGGGTTGAGGGTTGAGGGTCTAGGGACCTGCTTCTACATGTCATGCTTCATGAAGAAAGCACTGTGTGATGCCGCTGCACAAGCAGTGTCGCCAGTAGCATTGAATGTCCACTGGGAATGAACCTTCTGCAAAGAGCCGATCATGCAGATGGTAGTTTCCATCAACAGCGAGACTGCGACATAGACCCCAAAATACTATGGTCCTTACTTTGGGTACTGCCCCCCCTCAGTAACAGCTGGATAATAAGTATAATAGGGTTATATATAGCCCTTAATAGGACCCCTAATATAGACTGTTACTGAGGGGGGGGCAGTACCCAATCCTTACTGTAGGTGCCCCTAAAAGGTGACCCCTAGCTTTAGGAATCCCTGAAGCCTATTTATCCCGATATATCCCCACATACCCCTATACAATCCCTATAGCCCCCAAGCAGGTACCCCCAATTAAGGGAAACCCCCTATTTCTTTCCTAAGCCCATCCAAACCCTAACCCTGAACCCTCAAACCCGAAAACCCTCTAAACCCAAAACCCCTAAAACCCTCAAACCCTAAACACTTGCAGGAAGAGCTGCCACACTCAAGCCAACTCTCATCTGCCGGATAAGCCTGGCCACAAGCGGTTTAGGATTTAGGGCTTAGGAGTTAGATTCCAGATGTCTTTTAAAGTGGGGGGCGAAATGGTCACGCAGTTAAGGGGTTGGGTTTAGGGCTTAGGGTCTAGAGTTTAGGGCCCATTGATCTTTTTGACACATACCTGCTTGCGATGCTCTCGCACAAATAAACTGGTTGCACTCATTGGTCGGACTTCTGATCCAGCACTGCTGGTTGGTCGTGCTGGGATTATAGTCCCCCGTAAGTAGATAGAATATAGCTTTGGGTATATTATAATAAGATCCCCATATACCCCATATTCTATCTACTTAAGGGGGACGATAGACCATTGCGGCCTTCACCTATGATTCCATGTTGCAGCAAGCACTCCGACTAGGGCCGGCACTCAATGAACTCCAAGAGGTCCAAGTTCCCATCGTGGTCCACGTCAACATACTCGAACAAAACTTTCACCTTACCACTCGGCATTTCTGTCTACGAAGCACCTGCCTCAGAAATGAACATCACTGAAACCAAGCCGGCGACATCACTGGCAGAGTATCCCCACTTGACCATAGCTTGCCGAGCCCTTGTGATGCACAGGACGCGGTCCCTTGTCTGCCAGCAGCTCGTAAACTCGTGGCCGATGATTCCCACCTCCAGAAGAAGCAGGAGCTATCATGCAAACTCCACGTGGCTGAATCTAACAGGAGCCGTTTCCATGAATTGTCCATGCTCTTTTCCATTTGATTCTCCTTTTCTGGGGTGATCGTCCTACTGACCCCTACCCTAAATAACCTCTATACATTCTTGACCCTAAGCCTAGCCTTGAATCCTTATACCCCTCTGCCCCTCTGTGGACATGTGTATGTACATATGCCGATGTAACCCCCTTGTATATATAAACTGCATGCACCCTAAACCTAAGCCCTAAACCCTCTATTTATGAGCTGAAAAAACCCTAAGCCTAACAAGAACTAAACCCTAGGACTGAATTTTCAGAATTAGAATTTGAGACCGAGTTTCAATTTAGGGCTTAGGGTTTCGGGTTTTGGGCTTAGAGTTTAGGGCTTGTTCTCCTTCAGCATGACCTCACTTAGAACTACTCATGAACCTGCAGTTATCCAAAGCCGAACCCCAGATACAACCACCCGTAACTACCCATGAACCTATAGCTATCCCAAGTACGTATAAGCTTAAGGAGAACCTTTAGAACTACTCATGAACATGAACCCTAAACCCTAAACCCTAAACCTAAAGGAGTCTGCTTGCTTTGGAAGTTGCATGCCCAAAGCCCGCCCTCTCGTAGCTCAAGCCACAGCTACGTGAAGCGATTGGGAATTTCAGGGAGTTTCCCTTTGTACCCTTAGGGTTTGTACCCTTGGGTTTGCGTCCCTACACCATGCAGTATGGCCCTTGATAAGGATATTTGGGACCCAAAGCCTAGGGCTACAAACATTAAGGGTACAAGCTTAAAGTTTTCGGAAACATAACGCCTTTCTGAACCCTCAGTAATTGGGGGGTTGCAATGCGGAGATTTTCTGGTCCACACTAATGTCGACCCATGATTAATACCCCCGCTCCGTTTCAGGGCCGAAATATTGGGATACCTATTATGATCCCTATTACCGGGAGGGGGTTTATTAATCAGGGGTCTGGGTCAAGGATTTCGGGGCCCTAAACCCTAAATGCAGATGTGGCACCGGCATGGCAACGAACAAGACGCTGACAATCACCAGCACGGACCTTGAAAGCATGGGACTACCAGGATATGTAGGGAATGTATTATATTGGGGTTATACAGGGGTAGTGGAAAAGAAGATGGAAGCTACTATTTAGGGTTCAGGGTTCATGGGAACCCCTGAGAAAGGAGTGTAGGGCTTAAGGGGCTACCTAATAACGTGGGAGCTTATCTACTTGGGGGTGGCCATTGCATTCCCATGACGAAGAACATCTGGCACGCAAACTCGAGTCCTCCGAGTGGTAGAAGTGGTAATTGTAACAGTCATGGTACTAGCAATGCAGCAATGGTACTAGCATTAGGACTAGTAAGGGTACTCGTAAGAGCATTGGGAGCAGGAAAATGACGCTAGTGATAGTACTGTGCAGTTGTTGAGGCTGTGCTAGCGGCGGTGCTGGGTATGATTTCCAGACGAGTGGCACAACCACGTAGCCGCCCGGAGAATTTGGAACATAATCACCTGCACCACGTGTTGGGCAACCCTGTCAAGCATGGTGGTTTCCAGAAATTAGGTTCACCCCTGTAGACCCAAAAATACTACAATCCACCCCGAAACGAGCCCTAATTCTTGCCAACCCTCAACCCTGCATATCCCCATATGTCCTGACGTCAAAACTCCACATCACCCCATATGACCGCTAGAACCCCCTTCAGGCTGTGCTGGCACAGCCACCGTAGCCGACAGTTGTCATCGTCACAACGCACAGCCACAAGGCATGTTGCAAGCCTGCAGTCGGGACATGCTTAAGACTTTAGGGTTATAGTCCCCCTCAAGTAGATAAAATATGGGGTATATGGGGCTGTCATTATAATGTACCCGAAGCCAGATTCTATCAACTCAAGGGGGACTATAAGGGTTTAGGGCAATGCCAACCCAACCCCTAAACCCTAAACAATAAGCCCTGATCCCAGCTATGGCCAGGGAGGAATCGCTCCAAAGATCTCGTACTTGGAGGGTCAGGGGACCTGAGCAAGTATACTTGTAACCCGTCTAACCAACATAGCAGCCCCAGTCATCCCCATTAGGGTTTAGGGTTTATAGGGTTTGGGTTTGGGGTTTAGGGTTTAGTAAGCCCCCCCGACCTGCAAGTAAGGCTTTCTACAGGAAGATGAAGATCGGCCCACTATAGAATTAAAGGGACTGCAGCGGGAACCCCAAAAATGTAGTCGGAACAAAATAGGCATATCATATAAGGACCCTGGTAGGTATCTTCCTATTATGCTCCTACTATATTCTTGGGGTTCCCAGTATAGTCCCTTTAAAAAAGGGGCCAACGGCCATGGAGCAGAAATCACTCCACCTTGATGCTCGGTGCCCAGAAGATGCTATAGCTTGAGGGTTCATGTTACTTAGTAGCTAAGTGCGGCACGGTCCCTTTAAAGGGGTTATAGGTATCTATACCGGTTAAGTTTAGTAGCTACTTATAGCTGTGCTTATAACCCTACTGATTATTCGGTTAACCTGTAGTAGTCCAGATAGGGCGTTATAAGTCAGCTTATAAACCCAACTCTGAGTAGTTTCTGAGCCCCATGAACCTTCAACCCTAAACATGAAATCCTAAACCCTATGAACCTTGAAGAGGATTTGAGTCCTTGCTGCCAGGGAGCTGGGAATGGCCGTCCTCATCGCAAAGGGCTTAGGTTTTCGGGCTCAGGGTTTAGGGCTCAAGGTTTAGGGTTTAGGGTATGCGCATGCAAACTTGAAGGTTCACGGATAGTTATGAGTGGGGTTACAAGGCATATCGGGCGATATGGGGATATGTTTGGGGGTTATAAGAAGAGTTACAGATCTCCCAATCTAGGTCAGAGACATAATTACCCGAACCTCATGACCCTACCTATAACTACCAGTGAACCCCTCAAAACCTTAAGCCCCTAAACGCCATGCATCCCTGTTTGTCCACAGTTGGTCCGCCATGTATCCGGAAAATTCCGGCAATGTCCCCTATAACCCCCACTAAAGGATTTTAACCCTAGCGGGCCTGGTCTCAATGAGGTACAACAACGTTGACGCCAGCATCACGATCAAAGCTAACCTTGGCTTTGCGAGGCTTAATAACCCCAAATAGTAGTTGCCATTTTCCATTATCCCTATATAACCTCTGTAAAAACCCTAAAATCTAAACATGTATATATATATATATATCCTATTCTTATGTAGCTGCCAGGGACTCGTCGTCCTCCCCCGTAGAGAATGATGTGTAGACCATAGTCTAAACTCCTTGAAGGGGGTCATTTAGCGGGCTATATAGGGGACTACTATGAGGGTTATTAAGGGGGATACTAGGAGTTTAGACTATAGCTCATGTAAACTAGGGCTATATGGTGATTTCCCACAATTAGGGGTACCCTGTAGGGGTCCCCATAGTATTGTTTAGGGAAAGTACCATATAGAACCTGTGTCAGAACTATCCCCCCCCTCCAAAAAAAAGGGACCACCCTCCGGCACTTTATCAAAAATTCTCATTGCCGAGCACTCTAAAAGTCCAAGTCACGTGTACATGAGCACCGGCAGTGCTTCAAGCCTGTGTAGCGCCATGCAGCATGCCATGCATCGCAGGCAGCTCATTCCAACTCCATAGTTTGAATCTATGCTCTAAAACCCTCAACCCTAGAGTTTACGGCCCAAAAGTCAAGTCCACAACGCAGTATGCAGACCCATCTTGCTTTCCAAGCATCGAATTTTTGAATGCATCCTTTGTCCATTCACACAAAAATGACTGGAATGCACCGCGCAACGCTTCACTTGGCAAACATCAAAAGAAGCTGAGACAGGCTAACCCTAATATAACCCCAATATAACCGTGATATAACCCTAATATAACCCGAATATTACCCCAATGGGTCCTAAAACCTAAACGCCAAGGCTCGATCAACAGCCTGAAAGTTTCGAAATATCGAAGCAGCTTCAGCAAGCGAATAATGGGCAGCACAAACAGAAGAATGACCTGGTTCAGGGTTCAGGGCTATATGGGGTTATATTGGGGGTGATATATACTACTTAGGGTTTAGGGATATAGTGGGTTTGTAGTCCCCTTTAAGTAGATAGATTATAGGGGTTATATATAGGGGCTATATAGGGATATTGGAAAAGAAAATGGAAACTTCTATTTAGGGTTTGGGGTTTAGGGTTCAGGGTTTAGGGAAGAGTGGCCAGCACACGCTGCACCGGACTTCTGTGAAGAATACCCTACCGCGAGGTAGCAAGAAACACCATGTAGCCTCCTTCTTAAAGGGCGATACTTTTTGTAGGGCCCTTCTGCAGGGAGAGCAACGCCCCATAGACATCACTTGATTGCAACCATGCCAGCACTTGGAAAGGAACATATAGGGTTTCCTAAAATTAGAGGTACCCTTTTGGGGGCCCCAATAATAAAGACTATGGTATTTGGGGGTCTATATTGGGGTCCCCCTATTATGGGAAACTACCATATCTGGGAGTCGGTCCTACAATTTTGAACAATCTCCGCCAGCTCTGCTGGTGCAAGCGGTGACATTAGGATACATGGGAGTTTCTCAAGCTGGTCCCCAATGGGGGACGACTATCTTGTGTTTTAATCCCGTATGAACCGACACAACCCTACGCAGGTCCTCTATCTTGAAAAACCCAAGCATTATCACCTCAAACCTGAGCCTCGCCGCAGAACATGAATCCTCGTATTCCGTAAACCCTAAAATCACGATGAGGGTTTAGGGTTAACTCTAACCCCCAAACCCTAAACCCTGACAAGGATTGCTTGAGAGCTGGCCGCAGTCGCGGTTTCAGCAAAGCGGCCTCGACAGGGCTCCCTACCTCAGCTTAATCGCGTCGCTGTAGTACTACAGCGACAGCACTGTTTAAGAAATCATTGGGCTAAGAAATTGAGCCCCTCGGCGACCACGCATATAGATATATTTTTTGGTACGAAAGTACAGG